TCATCCATGAATTCGTTTATTTTAAATATAGTTTTATATTTAAAGCATGAAGTGCATGTACCTTTTAAATCTATGAGATTTTCTAAATACTGTTGGCTGGTATGAGAAAATATATGACAGATTTTTATATATTGACAAATTTGGGACATTTCCTAGTATAAGATACTTAAATAATATGTTCTCTGTGACATTGGATCCCCTCGAACTGGAGTTACGGATGGTTATTAGCTGCCATGTGGGTGCTGGGAATTGACTGCAGGTCCTCTGGAAGAGCAGTTAGTATTCTTAATGGCTGAGCCATCTGTCCAGCCCCTAGTTATCCATAATTTTAAAATATACCTTCAATATAATACAATACTATGCATATGCTATATACGATACAATTTAAAGATAATACATAAACCTATAATAGTTTTAAATATAATGTATGTACTCATTGAGTATGAGCTGTAGGGATGTCTCAAATGCATGTCATGTCCCTCACTTTTTTCTTCATTTATGTAACTGATGTGTGAGAAATACTGAGTTTGTAAATAGGTGGAATGTTTTTGTTTTAAGAAGAATCTAGCTTCCAAGGAAAACCCTCCTTTAACAGTCACCCTGGTGTTTGATTTTCCCATATAGCCAGGCTGTGGTACTTTCAAATTGATTCTCGTTTCAGGAGGCCACTTACAAGATTTCATTCTGTGCCTTTGATACAGTATGAGAAAGAGACTGGTTAAAAATTACCACATTGCTGAGAGCATTCAGAAACTGAATGCATTTTTTAAGCCCTTCTGTATTGGCCCTGCTGCGTGTGGCCCATTAGCAAATGCTGCTGGCCAGGGCCTCTGCTCTGAATTCTGTGGAAGTCTGTTTAGATATCTCCAAAGATTGAAACTCTCTTCTAATCCCAAAATCTTGTTTTATTTTATTTATATTGTGACCTTTTTGAGACAGGGTCTCTCTCTAGCCCCAGCAGGCCCGAAACTCGCTATGTAGACGAGGCTAGCCTCAGTCTCAGAGAGATCTGCCAGCCTCTGCTTCCCGAGTGCTGGGATTAGAGATGTGAGTCACCATACCAGGCAAAACATTAATTTTTTCAAGGTACATTGTTTGGACCCTAGATTATGAAAGTGGATTCCAGGATTTGTGAGAATCTGGAATATGAAAAAAGAACTCTGAACAGAACAATAAAAATACAGTTCCCCTATCCAGGCAGTAAGCCTGTCATGGTTGATGGTGATGTTGGAGTCGTAGAACAGCAGGCGCCTGTTAAACGTGGTGCTTAGGTGGTGCTGGGAGAGTTGCACAGAATTTAGCACAAAATCTAAACAGTCAATTTGCACAACCGTATCAAAATTAGAGTGTCCATCCATCTACCTAGACCAAACACCAATTCATGTTGCTTTATTCTATAAACATCTTCTGCATCTCTTAGGGTGCCTTTAAACCATCTGACTGCCTTTGTTGTACACTTACTGAAAAGCAGTGCAGAAAGTAAGATTTTTTATTAATTTTTAATGGAATTTTGTGAATGTCATACACTATATTTTGATCATATTTAGATCCTCTCCCCTATCTGCACCCCCTTACTAACTCTCACAAAATTTCTGTACTCTAATATATATTATATGGTACATATTAATGTATTATATATTTTTATAATGTATTTATAATATGTAT